ATCATCATCATCATCATCATCATCATCATCATCATCATCATCGTCATCATTATCATCATCATCATCATCATCATCATCACCATCATCCATTTGAATCGAGTTGTTTGGACGAGTGGAGATGCCTCTAAGTATGGTGACAATGGAGCCGAAAAAGAGCCTCGCTCTCGTTCGAAGATTTCTTCGTGGAGCCCACCAGGCCCATTGAAAAGACACAAATATAAAAATCATCATTATCGTCATCATCATCATCGTCCTCACTACTTTCATTTACCTTCATAACCGCTGAGAGCTCCTCCAAAGAACAGGGTGAGAAGCGCCGGCTGTTGGTGTCCACTGGGGAGCCTGAGTACGGCCACATGAGGAACTTGCCGCCCTGCTCAGAGGTCGGGGCACAGCGCGCCTGATCCACAGGGTCGTGGTTCGAGCCAAAGTTGTGGGCGATTTCATGGGACATGACCAGCACGTATTTCTGTTGGAGGGGAAATAGATGAATGAATGAATGAAAGAATGAATGAATGAAAGAATGAATGAATGAATGGATAAATGAATATAGAGATAAAAGGATTAATGAATTAATGAAAAGATGGATAAATGAGTGGATGAATGAATGAATTAATTAATTAATTAATTATATTCTAATAATAAATAGATGGATAAATGGATAAATGAATGAAAGAATAGACGGATAAATGAATGAAAGAATGAATGAATGAATAGATGGATAAATGAGTGAATGAATGAATATACATGTATGAATAAATGAATAGATGGATTAAATGGATAAATGGATGAATGAATGAATGAATGAAATGACCGAATGAATGAATGAATGAATGAATGAATGAATGAATGAATGAATGAATGAATGAATGAATGAATGAATGAAGGTTGGTAGGTAGGTAGGTAGGTAGGTAGGTAGGTAGGTAGGTGGGTGGGTAAGTAGGTAGGCATGCAGGCAAGCAGGCAGACTAGGCAGGCAGGCAGGCAGGCAGGCAGGCATGCAGGCTTGTCAGGCAGGCAGACAGTCAGGCAGGTAGGTAGGTAGGTAGGTAGGTAGGTAGGTAGGTAGGTAGGTAGGTAGGTAGGTATGAATAAATTAGTAAGTGAGTGAAGAAACAAACAAACAAACAAACAAACAAACACTTAAAGAAACGAACAAGCAGACAGACAAACAAACAAACAAATTACACTTAATTGATCCCGTGAAGGACAAGCATGCAAACATACATACGCATAATAATGTAAATAATAAATTACATATTTAAACCCGCAAACATACATGCATACAAAGAATACCAATACATTGAATTACGCCAACGCGGACAAATTTACAAACGTGCAATTGCTGGTTGCCTCTATGCAGCTCATTGGTTTCTGATTAGGTTTTTGTTTTTTGTTGTTTTTGTTTTTTGGTTGGTTTCTTTTTGTTGGTGGGGGGGGGCTCTTTTTGTTTGTTTTATGTTTGCTATTGCGTGCTTACACGTATGTAGGAGTGTGCATTTGCGCTTGTGTCTGTGTGTTTGTGTTTGTGTGTGTGTGTGTGTGTGTGTGTGTGTGTGTGTGTGTGTGTGTGTGTATGTGTGTGTGTATGTACGTATGTATGTATGTATGTATGTATGTATGTATGTATGTATGTATGTATGTATGTATGTATGTATGTATGTATGTATGTATGTATGTATGTATGTATGTATGTGTGTTTGAGTATACGTACATTGAATAAGATTTAGCATTAAATATAACGTATATTCGACTAAGGAACGGATTCACGCTTGTGGGATGAGACGACCTCATGGCATCAACAGGCGTTGAAAAACAGACGTTCCGAGCGCTATGTGTGTTTGTGTGTGTGTGTGTGTGTGTGTGTGTGTGTGTGTGT